CCGAAAGCCATCGTCTATGGCGGTGGCGTCGGCTGGAGTGAACTCCAGCAACAACTCGGGGACGGGCGTCGGAGACGATGACGCCGCCATGACGGAGAACTCCTTCAACTGTTCGGAGTACGATGCCGACAACTATGATATTTGCACCGGTGGCACTGTCGCCGCCACCAAGAAGGACAAGAACGTCTTTCAGCGAGTCTGGTAAATCGACAACAGCAGCATCAGCAGCTTTACAATTCTACACCACAGATCACACTTTCTAGTCAAACTGTGCACAAATCTACTTGACCGATATTTTTTTATTTTTATACACTTTGTACAGACACCAACGTTGCCATTCAGTTTTTTGACACTTTTTGTACATTTTCTCTTCTCATTTTTCAGCTGCTACCTTTCAGCTTTTTACCTGTACGATATACCTTTACACAGTTGTAGCCACATTCAGCGAGCTTTGTGATGCCAGAGAAGATTCCCTCAATTCCCCCTTTTCTCAACCGCCAAGAACTGTCCTGTAAATAACTTTCTGTACAACTGCCCACTATTGACAACTATGCATTTATACATTCACACACACAGACTGGTGATGATGTACAAAACTGTTTTTCTAAATAATAAAAAAGCACACTTTTACACTGACTAACTCGGCGATAGCGTAGCGTGGCGAGGAAACTTTTCCACTGCAATAGTAGTCGTCGTCGACGACGACAATGAGGATGAAGGTGGTGGTGGTGGCGGTGGTGGGGCAAGAGACATTGCGCGCCCAGCGAAATTTGAACTGATAGAGGCAAGGAGAGAAAACGAGAGAGAGAGAGAGAGAGAGACTCTGATGATGCGCGTAGCAATCGAGCTCGACGAGCTGCTTTCCTCCTCGGTGGAGGGAAAGGGCAAAGCAACTGCAGTAATAGAGAGACTGTAGTCGTAGTACTCTGTGCCTCTGTGCCAATCATCATCATCATCCTCTTCCCCCTTTGCCTTTGCCAGCTGCACTATGAGCAAGAATGACTGGAGGGAAAGAGAAAGATCTTCGGTGCTGGTGAGTAGTCGTCATCGGTGGCGGTGGTGGGCCTGGGCAGGTGGCGGTGTTGGGGGCGAACCAGTCGAGCTGGCTACTACGAGCACTGGCGCCTGAAAAGGGATACTCAGGCGCGCTAAGGCAGGAGGAAAGAGAGAGAGAGAGAGAGAACTACTGCTCCTCGGCGATACTTGCCAATCTAATACAATGGGAGAGTGCTGCAGCAGGGCAAAGTTCAAATCACGTCATCTTGACCTCTTACGGCTACGACTTTACCCGAAAAAGGTTTGGCGGGCACTCCCACTTTTGGATTTCGAGCAGGACCCGAGAAAGCTGCCCCCAAAGGGGGGCCGGTGGTTGGGCAGCACCGCCCACACTGGAGGCGCTGCTGCCCACCTTCAGTATGGACTTCAGCGCAGCCACCAAGCGTCATCCAGCCTCTGAAGAGGTCAGCTTTGCTGTTTCAGAAACCTCTGGTTCTACTCAAAAGTTGAACATTTGGCTTTCACTCGAGATGATCTTGAAGCGAGCTAATGCGAGCACACTGAAAAGTAGCCAAATCCAAACTTCCGCTAAGTGGCTGGTCCCCTGAGCCGCAGAGTGAGCGCATGTGCAACCTACACAGTAGCAGAAGCAGCAGCAGAAGCAGCAGCAGCAGTAGNCGGCCGCCCACCACCACCACCACCAGGGGGAAGAAAGTAACCGCTGGCAGAAGCAGCTGCAGCTCCCCCGACTCTGCCTCTCTGTCCGCGCTTCACTGGCAGACCACCGTCTCTCTCTCTCTCTCTCTCTCTCTCTCATTTCTCTTCATATTATTTCGAAGTGGATCAGAAGTTGTCAGAAGGGTCTGGGGCTGTGATTCACCGCCATCAACTGCGACGACGACGACCACGACCACGACGACGACGATCTTCCTCGAAGCCTCCTCCTGCTGTTCACCCGCCCGAGAATTCGCCTGCGACGCCACTCGATTCTCTCATCTGAGCCTCATTGCGAATGCAGGAGTTCAGCAGACGCTCTCCCGAGTGACCATCCACCAGTGTGCACATTCAACATCCAGCACTCAGCAGTCCAATGATGAACAGCACCAACCAAATGGCTGCGGCTTTTCAGAGTAAGTTCTGTTGGTGGATTCTTTTTTCCGATGTGTGTTTACCTCGAAGCCGCCACTCTTTTTCTGGACACATGAGCGCGGCACACGAGCTCTGGATGGCGCAAGTGTCTGTGTGCCTGTGTGTGTGCCTTGCAGCGCTGCACCATTCACCCCTTTTCTATTGATGATGATGATGATTTGAATTGCTTCCCCCCCCCCCTCAAATTGTGCTTCATCTTACTCATTTCCATTTGGTATCTCTTTCCATTATTATTATTCCCAGGCCTAGCCGAACTGTCGCACAGGGAATACCAAGCAGGCGACTACGAGAACGCCGAAAGGCACTGCATGCAGCTATGGCGCCAAGATCATCAAAACACTGGCGTTCTGCTGCTTCTCAGCTCAATCCACTTCCAGTGCAGAAACTTTGAAAGGTACTTTTCGTGTTTTTTTGTAGTTTTGAATTCGTTTTAAACAATTTTGTTCGATTCTCTTCATCATCATGTTAAAGGTCGGCGCACTTTAGCAACTTGGCCATTAAGCAGAATCCGCTACTGGCCGAGGCGTACTCTAATCTTGGCAATGTGTACAAAGAGCGCCATCAGTTGAAGGAGGCTCTGGACAACTACAAGACGGCAGTTCGCCTGAAGCCTGACTTTATTGATGGATACATTAATCTGGCGGCGGCACTTGTTGCGGCCGGTGAAATGGAACAAGCCGTTCAGGCTTACGTCTCAGCACTGCAATATAACCCGGTAAGTGTACTGACAGTCAAATTGGTGCCAACTTTCTGTACTCACTGTATTTCTGCNACGTCTCAGCACTGCAATATAACCCGGTAAGTGTACTGACAGTCAAATTGATGCCCACTTTCTGTACTCACTGTATTTCTGCTGTTNGGACAACTACAAGACGGCAGTTCGCCTGAAGCCTGACTTTATTGATGGATACATTAATCTGGCGGCGGCACTTGTTGCGGCCGGTGAAATGGAACAAGCCGTTCAGGCTTACGTCTCAGCACTGCAATATAACCCGGTAAGTGTACTGACAGTCAAATTGGTGCCAACTTTCTGTACTCACTGTATTTCTGCTACATTCACCCTAGGATCTGTACTGTGTTCGAAGTGATCTGGGAAACTTGTTAAAGGCTTTAAATAGACTGGACGAAGCTAAGGTACATATTCGCGTTCACGACAAACCTTTCTTCTTCTAATTTTAGTGCATGTTAACTTTAATACACTAACCCTCTTGTGCATGTTAATCTTATTCGCGATCACTGTCCTGAAAATGATTCACTTGATTGTTGCAGAGCTGGTTTTAAACTCCTATTTACCTATTATATTGCTCCCCTCCTGCTGCTGCTGCTGCTTTTGCGAATAGTAGGCAATCTGCTGCGATTCTGCTGCGAATCACCGAACTAGAAGGCGTCACACTTTCTGTTGCATTTTTGCTGCGAATTTTGTCGTTGCGCTGCCGCAACACAACTTTCAAGGGCAACACATTTTGCGCTGCATAGGAAAAAGCTCTGTAACTCGGCGCGAGTTACAGATCTGCGAGCACAAATTGTCTTCCGAGCGCGCGCGTAACCTTTACTTTGACCTGAATGTTTTAACCCCCTAGCGCACCTCTTGTGTTTGCTTACACCTACCTTTACTACACACCACTGCTACTGCCAACAATCAAGTGAATCATCACCCGAATCTGCCGAAAAGTGCAGCCGTCAGATTATGCACAGGAAGTTTTGAGATCCCCTTTAGTTTTTGTTAGCCTTTAGCCTAGCCTAGCCTAGCTTCCTTGATCTGATCTGATGCGTCAGACAGGGCATTGAAAAAAGAGTGCCAGTCAGCTTATTACCCACTACAGGGACACTAGCTACGATGCTCGGCAAGAGAATGCCCAGTATTGCACCAGTTTTGCCAAACCCCCCTCCACTTCCCTCTCCCCTCTCCTCCCCTAACAATTGAGGTCCACCTTGTTTTCTCTTAAAATGCCCATTTTAAAAGACACGAGGTCTTCCAAAATATTGAACCGTTTCTTAATAATCAATTTCTTTTCTTTCTTTTTCTCGATGTTAAGACTTTTTACAGTTGTAAAATGACCCACCTTCGCTCTCAAAGGTACGGTAAAGTATTCCAGGGTCAAAGAAGAGTTGTAAAAAACAAATAGTGATGCGGGGGTGTTCATGTCAATCAATCAATCGCAAGTCTACCACATGGTGAACACACACACGCACACACATGCGATGTTCAATGTCTCACGGTGTGGTCATTGGATGTCTCACTTTGCGCCTTTCCATTCTTTGCCGTCGCACTCTTGGAGACGATTTGCCCAGATACACACTCACGCACACTGTGACACGCACTGTCCAATGGTGTAAATCGAAGTGGTAATGATTGCTGTGTTCTTAGCCGTTCACCTCACTCTGTCTCTCTGCCCTGAACGATCTCCCCCCTGCTCTCCTCCTGCAAACAGCCGACTGCACCGAACTACAACAATGCCACTCTCGTTGTCCACTCGGTCGTGTCAACTGTTCTTCGCTGTGTGTGTGTGTGTCTTCTTCTCGACATCACTTGCGGGGAAATGTGTGGGGGACGTTGATGACTGGTTCATTTTCTTTTGCACAGCCATGAGATCAAGCGTTTTGCGCGATGCGACTGCGAACAATTACGAACAATTGCGCNTGTGTGTGTGTGTGTGTGTGTCTTCTTCTCGACATCACTTGCGGGGAAATGTGTGGGGGACGCTGATGACTGGTTCATTTTCTTTTGCACAGCCATGAGATCAAGCGTTTTGCGCGATGCGACTGCGAACAATTACGAACAATTGCGCGACCTTGCGAGCGATTCTCGAGAATGTGCGCGCGCTTTCTCGAGGCGGCGTCACTTAGTTTTGGGGCCTTGCGCTGTGCTCCAAAATTGCGGCGTAGATTGCGCATGCGATGCTTGCGGCGGCGATTGCATACTGCGGCGGCGGCGATGATGGCAGCGGCGAACGATCAAAATGGCTGTGCATGGCTGTCAACAATTTTGATTGCTGCAAGTGCGCACCACACGGCTTGGTGAATACTATTTAACTGTTTTCTTCTTTCTTCTTCTTCTTCGTCTCCCCCTCCTCCTCCTCCACCACAAATACCTTTTACTTTTCTCTTTCACATGTATAAAGGCTTGCTACCTGAAGGCAATTGAGACTTGTCCCACTTTTGCCGTCGCCTGGAGCAACCTGGGATGCGTCTTCAACGCACAGGGTGAAATATGGCTTGCCATTCATCACTTTGAAAAGGTACAGTACCTTGAATTTTTTTCTAACTTAATCACCGTTCACACAGACTGAATGACACCTTCGTGACACTTTACTAATTGCCTTTTTGGTCGTGTTTTTTCTGCTCATAGGCCGTGGCGCTGGATCCCAACTTTCTCGATGCCTACATCAACCTGGGCAATGTGCTGAAGGAGGCGCGCATCTTTGACCGGGCCGTCTCCGCCTACCTGCGCGCGCTGAACCTCAGCCCGAACAATGCCATCGTCCACGGGAACCTCGCCTGCGTCTACTACGAGCAGGGCCTCATTGACCTCTCCATTGACACGTACAAGCGGGCGATTGAGCTGCAGCCCAACTTTCCCGACGCGTACTGCAACCTGGCGAACGCTCTGAAGGAGAAGGGCCAGGTGAGCGAGGCGGAGGAGTGCTACAACACGGCGCTGAAGCTCTGTCCGACGCACGCCGACTCGCTGAACAACCTGGCGAACATCAAGCGCGAGCAGGGCTACATTGAGGAGGCGACGCGGCTGTACCTGAAGGCTCTGGACGTCTTCCCCGAGTTTGCCGCCGCCCACTCGAATCTGGCCTCGGTGCTGCAGCAGCAGGGAAAGCTGCACGAGGCGCTGGGCCACTACAAGGAGGCGATTCGCATCTCGCCCTCCTTCGCCGACGCCTACTCCAACATGGGCAACACGCTGAAGGAGATGGGCGACGTCTCGGGGGCGCTGCAGTGCTACACCAGGGCCATTCAGATTAATCCGGCTTTCGCCGATGCACATTCCAACCTGGCGTCCATTCACAAAGACTCCGGAAACATTCCGGAAGCCATTGGCTCCTATCGAACTGCTCTCAAGCTGAAGGTAATTGCACTCTCGACTACTATTGCTACTGTCTAGAAGTGGGCTCTTATGTCGGTTTTGTCTGTTTTGCTTTGCAATTCTCCCCAATATAGCCCGAGTTTCCCGACGCCTACTGCAACCTGGCGCACTGCCTGCAGATCATCTGCGACTGGAGCGACTACGAGAACCGCATGCGCAAGCTGGTGGCCACGGTGGCCGACCAGCTGGAGAAGAATCGCCTGCCCTCGGTGCACCCCCACCACTCGATGCTCTACCCGCTGTCGCACGACCAGCGCAAGGCCATTGCCGCCCGGCATGCCGCCCTCTGCTACGAGAAGATTCAAATTCTCCACAAGATGCCGTACAGCTTCAAGAAGGAGCCCGCCAGGCGACTGAAGATCGGCTACGTCAGCTCCGACTTTGGCAACCACCCGACGTCGCATCTGATGCAGTCGGTGCCGGGCATGCACGACCGCGACATGGTGGAGATCTTCTGCTACGCCCTCTCGCCGGACGACGGCACCACCTTCCGGTCGAAGATCGAGTCGGAGAGTGACCACTTCGTTGATCTGAGCGCGGTCGCCTGCAACGGCAAGGCCGCCGACCGCATCTTCAGCGACGGCATTCACATTCTCATCAACATGAACGGCTACACGAAGGGCGCTCGCAATGAGATCTTTGCCCTGCGCCCGGCGCCCATTCAGGTGATGTGGCTCGGCTACCCGGGCTCCAGCGGGGCGCCCTTCATCGACTACATCATCACCGACAAGGTGACGTCGCCCGTGGAGCTGGCCAGCCAGTACTCGGAGAAGCTCGCCTACATGCCGGACACCTTCTTTGTCGGCGACCACCGGCAGATGTTTCCGCATCTCATTGAGCGCGTCCTCCTCCTCGACCGATCGCCCACCGACGGCTCGGATGGTGACGGAGACAACAAGGAGCGCCTGCCGGACACGGTGTCCATCGTCAACGCCACCGATCTGTCGCCGATCATCGAGAAGGCCGACGTGAAGAAGATTCGCGAGGTGGCGGTGGTCACCACGGCCTCCACCACCGCCATCAACACCTCCGTCACGGAGAAGGTGGAGGTGGTGAAGACCATCGTCGAGCTGCCCACCACCCAGATGGTGCAGGCGATGATCAGCAATGGGCAGATTCAGACCTCGGTGAACGGCCTGGTGGTGCAGAATGGCCTGGCGACGACGCAGATCAACAACAAGGCAGCTACTGGTAAGTGTGTTTGGCAAAGTTGTTGTTGTTGTTGTTGTTGTAGTAGTCGGCGAGTTTTAATTGTACACTTTGTGTTTGCAGGCGAGGAAGCTCCCACCGCTATTTTGGTGACCACCCGCCAGCAGTATGGCCTGCCGGAGGACGCCATCGTGTACTGCAACTTTAATCAGCTCTACAAAATTGACCCGAAAACACTCAAATCATGGGTTAAGGTAAGCTAATTGGGAGGGGGTGGCAAAAATGGGCAATTCTCACTAATCCAATCTTTCTGTTGCAGATTCTGAAGGACGTACCCAACAGCGTCCTCTGGCTGCTACGCTTTCCCGCCGCTGGCGAGGCGAATGTGCTCGCCCTGGCGCAGTCCTACGGACTGCCACCCGGGCGGATTGTCTTCTCCAATGTGGCCGCCAAGGAGGAGCACGTTCGCCGGGGGCAACTGGTGGACATTTGCCTGGACACGCCGCTCTGCAACGGCCACACCACCGGCATGGACGTCCTCTGGGCGGGCACGCCGATGGTGACGCTGCCCGGGGAGACGCTCGCCTCCCGAGTGGCCTCCTCGCAGCTCACCTGCCTGGGCGTCCCTGAGCTGATTGCCAAGTCGTACCAGGACTACGAGAACATTGCCATTCGCCTGGGCAACGATCGCGACTAGTAAGTG